AGCCAAATTATGGACGTTTCCCGCCCAACAGCGGTCTCTAATACCTCTGGTAGATGGGGGAAGCATTATAGATACCTCTCAGCTAGCAGAGCCGGTCTCGCTGGCTGGGCGGGACTGATGGTATGCACCAGTACCACTAGGATATAGAGACTGGTAGAATATCATAGAGGGAAGCACAATGGACCAATACAGGTCTAAGTGCATGGGGAAACCCACCCTCTCCAATAACTAACTAACTACTGTATAAGGGTATTTTTGTGTTATGTATATATTATTTTCTGTTTATTTAATGGCTTCCATGCTGCAAGTAACTGGTCAGCCTCAGCATAAACTTTGTTATTCATGAGTTTTACTACTGTAATACTGAAACTTGGTTTATTTTACATTTAGTGCAGGTGAGCAAGGTGGAATGAAGGGGATACTACAGGAGTCCATACTGTTGCACAGAAACATGAAAAGTGAAAGTAAGTAAACACATGTTTTATGCATCTTACTGCTCTTACAACTGATCATTATGTAGTAAAACCTGCTTATAACATTCAGAAGGAACCTGAAAATTTTTTAAGTTCAGATATGTTTCTGTTTAACAGAGGTGCCAACTTAGATAAAATAATAACTGCTCAGTACATATTACATGTATTTATGGCTCAGCTCAGAATGTTGTGCTGCATCTGAACACTAAAGTTTCACTGAGGAATACATATTTGTTTTCTTTGTTTCTTTCTCTCTTCTCTATTTTTTTTTTTCAGTAATCCAGTAAGGTAAAGTCCCTGTGCTTAACTAATTAAGCACTACAACATGAAGGCATATGGGGCAGCGGATTTATAGATCCACGTTTTCTTGACCTCAGCACTAGTTGGAGGTTAGTGGGCAATTTCACGCTCCGGCTGCTTTACCCATGGGGAAAGAGCCCTGGATGCCCATTGAATAGGATGCTGGGTGGGCCCCAGAACCGATCTGGTTGACATGGAGAAGAGAAAATTCTTGCCCCTACTGGGACTTGAACTCCAACCCCTCGGTCGTCCAGCCCGTAGTCAGTCACTATACCGACTGCACAGTAATCCAGCAAAGTAAAAGAAAAAAGTAAAGTTGTCCCTATGCTTAATTAATTAAGCACTATGCCATGAAGACGTATGGGGGACTGGAGGTATACATCTACCTTCTTGATTTTGGCACTAGATGGAGGTGAGTGGTCAGCTTTATCCCCCCCCCCTCATGAATCCACCATGGTACCCATTGGATAGGGGGACTGGATGGGCCACAGAACTGTTCTGGATACTGTGGAAAAAGAGAAAAATCTTGCCCCTGCTAAGAATTGAACCCTGGCCATCCAGTCCATAGCATGTTGCTATACTGACTGAGCTACGAACCTGCACATATTTTGTTGTTTGACCTAGTTTGTTCAGTTTTCAAATAAAAGAAAAGGCTTCAAAAGAACCATGCATAGTAATACTTCTACAGTTACTGTTGCACTGATATGGTAAAGGTAAAATGTAAAGTTGTCCCTGTGCCCTGCCATGAAGGCATATGGGGGGGGGGTGGATGTATAGATCCACATTTTCTTGACCTCAGCACTAGCTGGAGGTAAGTGGTCAGCTTCATGCCCTGGTTGCTTTACCTCTGGAGAAAGAGCTCACCGGTACCCATTAGATAAGAGGCTGGGTGAACCCCAGAGCAAGTCTGGACGACGTGGAGAAGAGAAAATTCTTGAACCTATTGGGACTCAAACTCCGACCCCTCAATCATCCAGCCCATAGCCAGTCACTATACTGATTCTGCTATCCCAGCTCCTCCTATTGCACTGATATGGTGGAAGTAAAAATATTGAAATTGTGTTGACCCAGTTCCCTTGAAGACAAGGATTATATGAAATAAAGAACCATGTCAGTCAGTAGCAAAACATTTATAATGCAACTATTATAGTACAGATTCTCATTCTTCAGTGTGAGTTGTGTATGCTATAAAATTATCCACCCTTTAGCAGCAAATGATGGTTCTGCAAGCAAACAATATGCTACATGTTGATCTTAATATGTTGAATTATGATATGATTAAACAATAATATAATCATTCTTGATAGGAAATCCATAAGCAGTGACACATCAGAAAGTAAGGTGCCCTTTAGAACTGTTGATCTCTGGAATCAGACATACACATAGTAGGAAAAACTAACTTCCTTACCCTTGAACCAGACAAGTGATGGGCCAAAGATGAAGCCCCAAACTTAGATACTTAGGATGTGATAATGTGCTGCTTGTCAGGGCTAGGCAGTGATGAATACAAAGCAATGGTAGACTGTTTAGCCGGGCAGAAAAACAGAGAGAAGCCTGCTCCACTGCCATACTGTCCACCACAAACCTCGCACATCATTTGGGGTTGAACCAAGGGCTCCAAAATGAGAAACCAGTGTCTAATCACAGGAATACTGGCATGGCCTCATTGATTTTAAAACATTATTTATGTTGTCTTTGGATTTTATGTGCACATATTCATGTTTTTTTTGGGGGGGGGCATGAATTGCATAAACAAAATACACATGGAGAAAGTTTTGTCTGTCCATAAGTTTGATCTCCAAAACTACTTTACATAATTCAATTAAATTCGGTATTGGGGCTCTGCACTACACATTGTTATGCAAATTTAATTTTGGTGTATACCAGCCACTTCATATAAAACACTCTTAAAAAATGCCCCTTCACACAAAAGAATGAATACATGACAGAACACATAGATGTCAAGATCTATAGCTTTATTTGAAAAATTTTCTGATATTGCAAATTAAAAAAAAAAAAAAAAGCAAAAGGAAAACAGTTTCTGACAATATTCCATGTAGAACTGTATGTCTGTAAACTTACTCCAAAATGTAAAATCTTTTCTTATAGACAGAATTTGATCATCACAAGGAATACAGAATTTCAACATTCACCGGGTTGGTAATGTACCTGGGTGGTCAGATTTCACATCATATTCCAAAATTGAGTTTTACACACACTGAGTTAAGGTTTTTGATCCAAAGCATCCCTTGTAATATGCATATACATTTATGACTTTGTTGTTTTAACAGTCCTCTGATTATCATGTGAGGTTTGTTTACATGTGCAGTTCGCAAGTTAATTAGGGCACCTTACTTCTGATATTCATAGTGTATTGAACAAAACATAATGTAAATATAATCAATTTAGCTGTTTCATTATAAATTGCTCATTCAAGTACTGTTTTCATGTATATGTTACACAATTGTTTTGATTAAATGTAAAGAAGCTATTTCTGAAACTTCATGTTTCTGACAAAGAACTAAAACAATACAAGGTCTCCTGTTCCATTTTTCATACTACTCCATTTACTTGAATTTTATGAGCACTTTAGCCATTGGGTAGTTTGTCTATGTCATCCACAGAACTCTTGCTATCATGTCTGCCAAGATACGTAGGTAAGTCAATAAGTAAGTTACAAATGGATATAGAACTTACGAGTAACTAAGAGTACTGATTTGGAAAACGCTTTTATTTCTCAACATAATCTCCCTGTACACTGAGGCACTTGTCCCATCGTTTCACAAGCCCCTGAAAACCAGCAGCATAGAACTTCGGGCTGCTGTCAGAACCAGGCGGTGACTTCCCTTTCTAATCGTCAGGAAAATGTTCAGCTGAAAGATGATGTTTAAGAGGGCTGAACAAATGGAAATCGCATGACAGGTTAGGTTTTTCACAAAGTCTGTGCATGATGGGTGCCGTGCATGCTAACCCCACAACACAAAATGCAAAGAATGGGTCTGACATTACAGCATCTCAATCGCTACCACGATGAAGGACACAATATGCTAGGCAGAATTGTCACAGGTGATCAGTCTTCCTCCAAGTGAGTTCCATTTGTTCTGCCCTCTTATACATCATCTTTCGGCTGAATATTTTCCCGACGATGAAACTGTAGAAAGGGAAGTCACCACCTGGTTCTGACAGCAGCCCAAAGAATTTTATGCTGTCAGTTTTCAGGGGCTTGTGAAATGATGGGACAAGTGCCTCAATGTACAGCGAGATTATGTTGAGGAATAGAAGCATTTTTCAAATTACTACTCTTATTTGCTTAAGTTCTGTATCCATTTGTAACTTACTTATTGACTTACCCTCGTACTTTGTCACGTTATGCCAAGACCCATTATACTGCTGACCCTGAACTTGGAACTAAAAAATTTTGTATAATACAAATCTATCTTGAACACCAGACTTTAATACATCATAAGAACTTGGTATATTATAGTGAAACCCAAAGTTTGGCATAACTGAATCTGTATTTCCAAAACTCAGATGAATAAACAATACAGGGAAAAAAAATTCTAAAAGCATTGTAAGTCACGTGGCATCACAGAAGTTGTTTTGGAAAACTTTGGTAGAGGTCAAAACCCAAATCATGTTATTGCAGTAAGAAAAAGAGAAATATGTATTGATCTACCAGCCCAGAATTTGGTATAACATGAATCTACATTGGCCCCAGCCTAAATTCAGAGTTCAGTATAACATGGATCTAACCCTAATTCAGAACTTTGTATAACACAGACCTATCACAAACCTCAGCATGCAGTGTAATATAGACCTGTCTTGAAATCCATAGTCTGGCATAACAAGAAATCATCTTGGACTTCAGCATTTGGCATAACATAAATTTTCTTTAACTTCAGTAATTCCAATAACATGGAACTATTTTTGGACTCCAAAATACAAAATCAGAAATTTAGAAGGACCTTCATCTGTAACGCCATGTGCTGTGATGTGGAAAGCAATGCAGTGAATTAAAGGATAACTGTCATCTTACTTTTTGGTTAAATAATCACTTAGTGAGAGTGTATTTAAAAATGTATTTATATTTGGAATATCCTATGAAGCATTAATCCTAAATTATGCCAAGAAATAAAATGCCATTTCATACATACACAAGATGCGGCAGAGTTTTGGATCATGTCCTTACGTTACGCACATTGACTGTCATATCTTTAGAATTCTGAAGAGGCACCTGGACATTGTAGTTTGTTAAGAGATGGCAAGTGCAGTACTGAATACTGAAATTCTCTGAAGCTGGCATAGACAAACTTATGTACAAGATGTATTCGTTTATATGGTAGATAAGATTGTTGTTGATCAGTAAGAAGAATAGTGTTACAGATCAAAACTAAATGTAATAACTTGAGGCCCTGTGTTATTTATTCTCATAAAATTAATACCTTGTCCAGGAAAAATGAGAAGAAATTTGCAACACAGATTGTTATTGACCCAGTTTCTAACGGTATTTTGAATAAAATGGTGAATCATGTAGAAAAAATGTTTTAATTTTTATAAATCAGTTTTATTTCTACAAATATAAAAGTACATTAAGAAACTCAAGTAAACACATACAAAATGTGCATACTCAATTACAAGTTAGAAATTCAAATGGAAATTATTTTAGCTGTTCAGTTTTTGTCTGAACAAATGGAAATAATGTTAAGTGTTGAGGTGGGAATTCTTGGAGAGAAATCAGGCTATGAAAGTTCTAAGTTAATATCCTGGAAGAGACTTTTGGAGAATGATAATAAGTGATCTCAGTAAAGATAGCCCCAGGATTTCTTCCAACACCTGTAATGCAGAAAGTCTTGTGTCTTGCAAAGTGGCACCTAACCTATCCTGAGACAGAAGTACAAGCGCTTCACAAAACAATACCTGGACAAGGTATGAATAACAATATATAACTCTGTCTGATACAAAATATTGCACTATGAGGAAGTTGCAAGTAAACTACTAAAAGAGTTGCTGTGACACAATACTATGACTAGCTATCTAATAATAATAATAATAATAATAATAATAATAATAACAATTTATCAGACAACTGTGTGTTATCCAGCATTCATCAGACTGCAAGTACATAATTGTTTTTATCTTCAGAACGCAGATTTCATTGAAGATATTAAAAATTTTCAGGGTTTTCTTTCTTTCATTGGTGGATTTTCAGAAAGCTAAAGATCAGTCTTGCAGCACTAAGTTTGTATGTTTGGCCAGAATAACTCAATCCTTAACAGTGGCACAGTTAAGAGTCTACTCCCATGTCTGATTATAGCTCAGTAATAAAGGTAAAAATAAAAGGTAAAGCTATCTCTGTAACAGGCTGTTGAGGCCCATGGGGTTGAGATTTTGAGGTTCCACATTTTCTAGGCAGTCAGCTCACAGATGGCAGTGAGGTTCTCAGCCTTACACTATGGCTGCCCTTTACTCATGGTACTCATTTCTTTTAGAATCTGAGTCTACCCCAGGGTCACACTGCAGCTAAAAGAATTAGGTAAATTGAAAAATCCAATGACCCCGACCTTCCAGCTTGTAGCATGGTGCCTCAACCAATTATGCTACTGCATATAGTTGGAAAGTGATGTCTGACTCGAATGTTTTATGGACTGAAACTCATCTGAACACTGTTTTAAAATCTGATTGAAGGAAACTTGAGAAAATACCGAATATATTAATAAATTAAGGCAGTCTCATAAATTCCTTTATGGTGGTGTTACTGACAATTATATGGAAATAAGTATGGATCATCATGTGTGGTCTATGTACAGTCTCATTTTTGAAAACTACAATCCAATTTACAACATGATATCTGAGCAATATAATATGGAAAAATATCTCGTGGATGGTGAGGAGGCTTACCTCATTTTGTGAACTGTTTCATTCCCCTCCAGTCTCGTCTCATCTGTGCCATCTAGTCAAAACTATTTGTCACTAGTGAATGTTACCACTATTAGCATTCCTGTGAATAGGATGGCTAGATGACTAGCATGAAGTACAGGGTAATATGCTGGAGAGGGAAGCATAACAGCTCAAGGGAGATAGGACTGCTGTGGCTTCAATATGGGTTACTTGATTCAATCATATTATCCGATTTATCCATTATATGACAGTTTTGGTTAATAAAATATACACTATGCCACATCTGAAGCAGTTTATGTACAACTTCCTCATTGTGTTAAACACATAAATGTGAAATATGGGGTTCTCACAATAGTGAACAGGAAGATTATGATTTTTGGGGATGTGATGCCATGTCATTTTGTAGATACACAAACCTGCTGTCTTCATCTTCAGGGTAGCAGGTTCCTTCAAAACATAGGTACCTATCTACAATACTTATGGCATCACATTCCAGAAGACCACATCTTGCATGAACGTGTGAGGCCCTTTTAGCTTACTATCATTATACTTAAATTAGCCATCATTTAGCTCTAAAATACTTCCAAATAGTAACTTAATTATGGAACATGATGTATGACTAGATAATTGTTCTATGTACACCATACATAATAATGTGAAATAATACAATGTTCCAATGGCACCTTTAATCAGAAACAGTGGAAAGTAACTGTCCCAAGCTTGGAATATATATGCAACTAATATTATCTACAGTTTCCCATGGTTTTTAATATAAAAATGTTTACCCACAAAGCTGAGAGAAAGTCAGTGGCCTGTCATAAGACACTGAACCATGTTCAGCACTGTTCTATTTGTCCCATTCTGCAGTGCCAAGTTTATGACAAATACCTTAACACCTCTCTCTTAGATGAAGATTTCTTAAGTGATTTAATATTTCCAAAAATGACCTTATTCCGTTTATATATAATGAAGCTAAGAGAAAAAGTTTTTTTGGTGCTTAAACATAGTCTGGAATGAAGAGAGTCATCTTCTGGGTTTAGGCACCGTGTATTCTTCGTGTTGGCCGTCGTTTCGGAGGAACGTAGCGCCTCCATCTTCAGAGCAGTTGAATGGCTTGGAATGCGGAGAGCAGTAGCTGTGGTGATAGGATGTGGAAGGTGCTGCTTATATACGAAGTAGGCAGGGGGGGGGGTTAGGGAGAACGGACCAATGGGAGCAGTGGAGAGCGATTAAGGCCATATATGGTGTGTGACTAAGGG